ATACTTATATATTATTATTATATATTGTATACGTATATATATGTATGTATGTATGTATGTATATTATATAGTACATATATATATATATATATATATATGTATATATATATATATATACATATACATATCACATAGTTCATCCTTTTCTAGAACGGTCTGGTTTCTACATCTTCTAGCCTGTATTCTGTCTGCTTCAACTAACCTGCATCTCCCCCCATCACACCTTTCTCATGCACAGTCACGCGTTGCCAGTGTTCAGGCGGCGGCAGAACCTCTCGCTGTCGCAGCGGTGTCGTTCCGGGCTCGTACAGGTAATGTCTGCCGTTCATTTGTTTTGCCTTTGCTATATTTAGGCTTAACTGATCACTGTGTTCAAGGTGTAATGGCCCTGATATTCGACACTTACAGTGTATGGTGTGTGGTGTATTCTGTTGGGTACGATATTTTTAAGCCTATTACCCCTCGTATTATCAGAAGCGGTAGTGGTTGTAGCGGTATCGGCTGTGCTCAGCGACAAGTCAGCCGATACGCATAATATATATATATGAATATATATATATATATATATATATATACATATATATATATATATATGTGTGTGTGTATTAATATATATATATATATATTATATTATATATTATATTATATATATATATATATATATATATATCTTAGCATCTCCAATGTGATGCCCTCCTCTCGTCCTTGAGTGTCCTCGCAAACACTCGTATGCCAATAGTCCCGTAGCCGCTGGCCCATGCCTACTTAACTTCGATTGAAATTGACTAGTGGTCATGTGTATTTATCACGTACTTGAGCCTTCGTATTGGGCAAATGGATCTCTCAGCACTCGTTGCTTCGCCCACTAAATCAAATGGTGCGGAGTGGTTCTTCCATAGCTGTATGGGCCTAGAATTGCTTGTTTTCATATAGAGGACTCCAGTAGTTTAGGTATATAGCAGTGCCACAAACTTAGATTTGAAATTATTGTAGACACCTGGCCGCTGCGAAAGTGTCTACTGCTCGGCAGCGAGGACCCTCCGAGTTTATAGCGATAAAACCCTTCTCGCCTTTATATCGTATATCATATATGGCTTCCGCTCAAATTCTTCGGTGAGGAATGGCACCCTGTTTAGGGATACATGTTACCACTGGAACCACTCAGGAGGCAAATACAGTCACATAGCACGCACGCTGTGGCCGTTTCTTAATACGCTAAGTTGATTTGCTATCCGCAGGTGGTACGAAACCGATCCGCTATGGCTGAGACTGTGGAAGCTGGAGAATCCCTTGTATGTGCGATGACTTTGTGCTTTTCAAATTTTACAGACGTGTATACTCGGATAAGAAGTATGGGTTTTATTCATTCAAATGCTATATATATATATATATATATACATTTATATATATACATATACATTTATATAC